CGAATGCATTTGCATACAACAGGAAGTGCACCGCGGATAACTTGTCGTCGTCTGTGTCGCACCTGTAGACCATGAATAACGCTACAGCTGCGCATTTGCAACGGCATTAATTAATTCGTCAGCGTTTGCTTACCTGCGATATCTTTATCGAGTACATAATTGCGTGCTTAATTCCTTATCTTCACAAACGGAAAACTTGAGATAGAAGGTCTGCGTGCTTGTGTCCTGTGATTTACATTTTTATAATCACTCTGAAAATTGCAAGAAAATAATATCTAATAGCGTAATCTTTTTTTAAAGTAAACGCAGAGTTATTACTTTTAATTGCTGCATATACTATTATAGTGAATCAAGACATTCTTTTTTATAGAGAATGATATAATTATGAGAGAATTCTTTTTTCTTCTCTCTGTTTATTTTTCCAATATAATTAGCGATATTAATATTACGCTCTTTTTCTTTAATTCAATTTTACAGTTAAGGATATATTTTTATGCATTTCAATTAATTTTTTCAATTTGTTATTTATCTTATAAAAATAGAGAAAAAGGAAGGAAGAAGAGAGAAGACTTCTAAAGAAGGTAAGATTTGACATGATATAGATATAATTTAATTAATAATTTCAATATATATGTATCTTTATATATATTTCTAGAAGCATTATTTTATTATATCTATATTCTAAAAAACCGCAAGCTTTTGCTGTCTACTAAAAATTTGTGTAATTCTAATAAATGACAAGATTTTATTAAAATTTTGAAGAGCGATAGAAACATTTCCAAATGCTAAAAATAAAATATTGATAAAATTCAAACATAAAAATTACACGAATAAAAAATATAATACATATAAAAAGCTATCGTTATATGACAATAATTAATCTTTGAAAAAAAAATTGAAACAATATTCATATTTTGCAATCTAATCTAACGATTTAATTCTTTTTAAATTCATATTCATAAGTGGAGCTCAGATCAGAGCGAGCATGAAAATTATTCATCCTTTCATATATTTTTACAAAATAATTTTTCACATACATCAACATTATTAATTAAATAACAATTCTTCCCTTCACTAATATATCATTAACATTTTAAGTGCACCAGCTATATCGTTTCATCGTCTCTTATCGCCTCCAATTATCTCACGCAAGCGGAGAAATCGAATTTGGCAAACTTTTCTGACCTGTGCGCAAAAATATATTCGCTCGACCGCGCGTTTCTCGTTCTCAATCCATACACGCGTTTGCGCTCTCTCTCTCTCTCTCTCGGGAGAGAAATTCATAAACAGAGACGGAGCGTGGTGCAGAAATAAAAAAAAAAACCAAGTACACACGAATGGAAGGGAGAGAAGCGGAAGTAGGGGAAGCGCGCGAGATGGAACGACGCGGTAAAGACGCCGCGAGAGAGTGGAACGCGCACCTGGGGCTCTCGGCCGGCTTTGGCGGCGACGCCCGCAAAGGTGCCGCAAGGTGAGAGGAAAGTGCGGCGGGGACGGAGAGACCTCTCAGACGCGGTCTGTCCCCTCTTTGTCGGGACGGTAGGCGGCAACGCGCGCGGCCTGAGTCGAGTCCGCAGGCGTCGGAAACGGGCGCCGACTTGCGCCGTGTTGCGGAGCACAGTCATCCCTTCCGCTTGCGGGAGACTCGCCGAGGGAAAAACACGCCCCGACTCGCCCGGCCTCCACCCGATGATGCTGCGGATGCTACTCTGCCAGATGCTCTCGGACGGCTGCCACGTGCGGTGGAGATGCGCGAGGTTGGGACTCGGCGCCAATTGTCTGCTCCTCAAGTCGTATGGTTGTTCTACTTAAAGTTACGATCGTAATCGTGATCAGTTGCGATACGACACGTGATCGTTTTATGATCGATGATTTTTTATTAGATGCGATGGATTTGTAGATTTCAGATTTTGATAGCTTAAAAGGAAATCAAGCATGTCTTGTGGAGGGTTAAAATCCATCTGTCACTACTTATCTAATATGTAGAGCAATATTTATCCAAATTTGTCAGTTTCTGTAGAAATCCTCAAAGTAAAATATAAATTCCTTCGTCGAGAAAATTTGTGCAAGTTGCGTAAATTATTTTTTAGAGACTATGTATCGCATCGGTAGTAAGAGAGATAAAATTTCAATTTCTTTTATCGCATCCTTCTTTGATATCAATTGCTGTCACGATTAATTTAAGAATTTATTTTTTGCGAGATATAAGTTATCAAAAGACGCGAGATTTTCGAGGAATACATAGATATATCACTTGGAAAATCGAGAAAGAAAGAATATATTCAATATTAATCTTTCGATAGATATATTTTCCAATTGATATAGCAAGACCCTTTTTGCGTATTTTTAAAAGATTATAAAATATTCACCAAAAATTATACTTGGTACCAGAACACAAAAGGCTCTAACAAATCTCAAGATATTTATAAGGAATCTTGAATTTTTCTACGAGCATCTTTTAGATAGGGTGTAGGGTCGCGCATTTTGTATATTTCTCCCTTATCTGCCATTACTACAATCGCTCATCTTATTCGCGCATGCTTTCCTATCTATTCACATCTTACAACAACATTTCTCCTTCCTCCATTCACTACAAAGTATCGCCGACAGTTTGGCGGTACGCTGAGCATTTTCATTTCTATGCAGCGGGATGGAATAGAGTTCAATGACTCCCGGAACACAGAAGGGACGGAGAGAAAGAAGATGTCTCTCTCCCTCGCGGCATTTCGCGGGATTGACTGCTGGGAAACGAGCTAGCCGAGCTTCTCGTGCGTGAATTCGCGCGTGAAGTAGGAAAACGCGGCACGATGGAAAATAGAGGTAGAGAGAGGCGGAGCTTTCACCGTTTCCACCTACGAGCCCATCTTTCGGGAGGTATGTCGTGGGACCGGATTTCCCGGACCTTTTTCCCTCAACCGCGCCTTGCTTCATATATATATATATATATCCTCTTTTCGTTCCCTCCACCGTCATCCACCTCCGGGAGCAGCCCCGACAGTTTCCTTCATCGACTATCTCTTAGCGGTGAACCCCGTTAGCTGGATATTTCTGGACTTTACCTTTTTCAGAACACATTTACGATAGGAGGCTAACGTGGCTGGTAATAGTGCTAAATAGGAAACCTGATAGGACACAACTGATATACCAGTTGAATCTTGAAAACGATGGAGCCAACAGGCGCGAATATGATTAGATCAATGATAATGATGGAACTGGAGCGCAGGAATTGGAGCGAGGCTGGAAAACGTCGTTAAGCTACGCTGGAATGACGGTAAAAGCGCAATATAAATCTAATAGGATTATTAGCGTGTAACAAAGAATGTCGTAAAGATTATATTTACCCGTAGTATTCGCTCGCAAATATATGATCATCAATTATCCAAGGCGATCGAACATCGCTTCGAAGAAAATAAATTCCAGTGATTAAGTTCCAAGTGACTCGTAAGACTATTACATTTCTTTTTCTTTATTTATATTGAATATTTTCTATTTATATTTAATATTCATATTATATATTATTTAATATTTAATATATATAATATTTAATATATAATATATTTAATATTTTCTTTATTTATTAAATATTTTCAGAAAATTGACTCGTAAGACTATTACATTTTTTTTTCTTTATTTATATTGAATATTTTCTATTTATATTTAATATATATATATTATATATTATTTAATATTTAATATAATATTTAATATATATATTATATATTATTTAATATTTAATATATAATATTTAATATATAATATATTTAATATTTTCTTTATTTATTAAATATTTTCAGAAAATTGATGAAAGTTGCAATTTGAACGAAATAACAATTGCGGCTTTCTAATATGATTGCCAATCAAATTTTAAAATCATTTATACCTATAAATATTATACAAACGACACCTTCTCCCTCGATTATGACACGTCATTTATTTTAAGGCGTAACGATCTCTCGACGAAGTAGGAGAGGACTCCATAGACAGTCTCTTTTTGCGCTCGCATACCGAGCCACCATCTTGTCGAACGACCTCGTCGTTCCCTTGCACCCTGAAATGCATCCCCCAGACTGCACTCTTTCCCTTTCCCTCTCGCGACCGCCGGATCCATACGGAGCGCAATGCCGAGCTCCACCTTCGCCGCCACTTTCACCACCGAGTCGGCTATCTCCTCCACTTCCGTCTTCGCCACCTCCACTTCCGCCGCACACTCTACCCCCCCATTTACGTAGCTCGTAAACCCGACGCGCCATTTTGCGTGACCCTTTTTCCACCTCCGCGCGATGACCTCCTCTTCTCGTCCTCCTTCGTGATCCCGCTTCCGTTTTAGTCAAAGCGCTTCTTCAGAGCGGTAGTGTTAAAGATAAGAAACGGAAATTAAACGCTAGACATTTACAAAACTCGCAGCGTATAGTGCGTTATTTTCTGAGAGGTCATTCCATTTTGTTTGTTTAACTGTAAACGAATACTATATACATTTTATTCGCGTTTTAAGGATGAAACTTGAAAGATTATTTTTTCTCTCCCGTTCTTCATTTCAATTTTCCGATAGTCATGTTTTAATAAGAATTGCTCTTAATAAATTTTTAAAGGCAATTTTCGATGCCATCAGGCTCTTCCGGTTCTGTAGAGATTATTTATATCTATTTCGTGTAATTTATATTTAGAAAAATCAATTGTATATTTCGAAACGTCTTAGTGATAGCATTAATTGACATTTTCAATTTCATATGAAAAATTTATGGATTCGTATATATTTATGTATTAATAATGCTGAAAAATGTTCATTCTTATATATCCTTTTTATTAGATATATTCATCGTTAATATGTATTTCCTGATATATATAACATAAAATAGAAAAATAATATAAAATATTATTTTGCACGTACCTGTCGAGTCTTCTCTTCTCCGACGAAAATATATAATTAATAAAATATATAAAGAAAATAAATAATTAATAGATAGGCCAGGAAGGAAAATAATTTGCGACAACGCAGCGTATATTGTTGTACATTCCATGATCGTTTATTTCGATTACAGAACAGCGATCGGGGGATTTATTTTTCTCTTCTTGATCCGTTTAGTGTATTTACATTAGTTCGCTGGTGCATCGCGAGAGACTGGTTTGGCGATGATCTAAAAGTTTTTGGTAATTATACCAAACGGCCGACGTGTCAAAGACCGATCGCTAAAAAGAATCATAAAATGCAAATTTGTTGCATATGATAAAAATCGTATCGAAACGAAAAAATGACGTAGCGATCGGCTCTCCTTCGCATCGTCCTTTCGTAATCTTAAGAATCTGTAATCTCGTTTGTGAAACGAAGATATTGTAGAGCGTATGTCGCTTTTCGTCGACAAAGATCGATATATCGCGTATTTAACAAACAATGAGCCTTCGTTAATCCAGATGTATATATGAAGTTTATAATACAATGTGATAATACAATTTGCTGTCGTTTAAAGAATTGTGAGGAATTATTTTGTAACATATACGTGATTTGTAAACATAACAAGAATCGTCGCAAAAGTGTTCAAAGTATCAAAAAGTCATAATTAAAAATCGTTAGAATATATTAATTAGAGTACATTCCATTTTGACAGAATCGCGTGAAAGTCATCGCAAAAATAAATCAACGCATCGACTTTGTCAATACGTGTAGAAGAAAAAACAAACGCGGAGATAATCTCACAAATTTCCAAAAACTATGAATTTGCGAACGAATACGGTCGCGATATTTATTGATGCACAAAAACTCTGTATCGAATGATCCTAGAGCGACCCTCGGTTGACGATTGTTAAGAACTAACGAAGTTAATTTACTAGCTCTATGATGCATAAACGTACATATTAATTCTAAAGAGTTAATTTACGTAACGCAGAGAAATATACAGGTATTTACAGAACGATAACGTTGCCCGGTTGAAGATCCGGAGAATCCCGGTTGACCCGCGAATTTCTCACAGGGATGTCGAGCTGACTCATTCACATATAGATGCGCCGCAAATCAGATGGCGACGTTATCATGTTGCATTGAGGACAGAGCTTCTTCGCGCCCTGCGAACAATGGCAAGAGGTCTCATGTCTCGATCGATTTCAAAATTAAACTCTCGTCAGACTCTTATTTATTTAATTCGGAAAATAGAGAACGAGACTGACAATTTTAGGCATATTAATTTTTGCACATCTTTAATGAATCTTACTGATCAATAAAATGGATAAAATCGAAGTAATTATGCAAAACATTAGATTCAGAATTCAATTCTATCATGACTATTTTAATGTACAGAAAATATTCAATAGCAGACTTATTTTGCGAAAATTTCAAACATTGATGATTTATATCTCTTCTTTTCCATTTGAATGGGTTTCATTTAACCGTTCTACAGCGAAGGATGAGAGAATTTAAATTAATATACATATAAATAAAATAGAGAGACCTACCAGCGTATGCAGCCAGCATTGCTCGCAGTGTACATGCCAGCAGCACACTGAAGTGACTGGTTTCTTGTATTGTTCCTGCAATCGTATTAAACGTGCGTAGGATTTTAATTTCTCACTAGATCAATACGGGAGGAGTCGATCTGGAAAATTTAATCCGGTTCGACTTCTCGCGAGTGACAAAGACGCAACAAGTGCGGTGTTACAAGGCCGATAACATTAATAAAAAATATAGAATAATTTTTTTGCATTCATTCAGCTAAAGTCCTGTTATCTCTCAGGCAGGTCTCGTGAAACGAATTGAAATGATTATTACTCGCGATCGTTACGTAAGGCATTCGCCTCTCAGGATCGAAAACAAGTTCGCCGTTTAGCTATCTTGGCGAATAATGATCGATACCTAAGCTCGAACGTTTTATTATGATCGCGCTGCGAGTTCGAGATCACCGTCTTATCTCGAGCGAAGAGTTATTTCGCGTGATCGGGAACCTACGTTAACGAAGTGCAACGAGTCCGAAGTCCAGGTAATAATCACGTTCTCGAGGATGGAAACACTCGAACGGCGATATTATTTCCTTCGCTACTTCGTTAATTCTGTACGAGCGACGTTGAGGGATAATTTATTCGGCGATCTAAATATTTCAGGCCGATAGGAAACGCGGTCAAATTTTATGCGCCGGTTTTATATCTCGTTACAATTATTTACGAGTCGCGAAACGCGCGTTGCCAGATATACGGATAAAACGCGACGCGGAATAATATGCGTATAATGTAATATTACAAGGACATATAATGATGTAAAATACGATGAATGCGCTGTGTTTTGCCGAGTTATTTTTCACATTGTTTAATTTGATTTTTCACGTATTAAAAACCGACTAGTTATTTGTAACGACAATCTAATTACGCGATGACTCGATTATAAAACATGTGTACCTGCATTAGCGTTTGAAACTTAATCGAGCAAATTTTTATACGCGGTTCAATCGTTTTTATTAGAATTCGAAAATCCAATTTTTATTATTATCCTTGTTTCACTTATTTTGACATTAAATTATATTTCTTCAAACTTCTACACAGAGAGAATTGTCTCTTAGAACTTACCTTAAAAATCATGCGAATTATGGAATAATATGATATTAGAAGAATTTTATTAAAAAGTTTCTCTGATTAACTTTCACTACAATAAAAATATAAAATATGTTCGATAGTAAAATTTACTGTGTACATATTAATATTTTTGATTATGGCAAATATTAATGCAAGAAACTTTTCCAAATTTTTTTCAATACCATACATTGTCCCACGATGATCATGATTTTCAGGATAAATTCTAAGAGAAATTATTTATTTATTTATTTCATTGTATTGTCGAACTTTGATATTATTGTGTTTTTAACGTTTATTTTTATATTATTGCAAATTTCTTCGCGTTAACAACTTTATAAATTATTATTTCATATCTTAATCATTGTACATTTTTATTGTGCAGTTACACTTGAAAAGGACCCGTACCTAAGGATCGAAACGTAGTGTTTCAAATTAAATTGTATTGGCCAGTTAGGTCGAAAATTTCAATAAATTTGTATAATATTGAATTCCAAAGATAATTGACTCACCATGCAGATGAGACACTTGAAGAGCTGGCCGCGCATCTCGGCCTCGAGCTCGCGGATTCGACCGCGAAGGGCCTCCATGACGGGCGTGTCGCCGTCTCTCCTGGGCGAGCCGGATGCGCCTTCCTCGGGATCGTTCTGCTGGGCGACGGGCGTCGTGGCGCCCGGTTCCGGTTTCACCTCGACCAGGCCCTGCGCTCCCGTCAGACCGGAATCCGGGGTCAGCTGTTGCGGCGTGTGCGGCGCGTTCGGCGAGATTACGGCCTCGCGAAGAGCGTCTCGTTCCTTCTGCTCGCGCGGCGTCCCGTCGATTCGCGGCGCGACCACGTCCGCCTCGGAATACTGAGCCGGACCGAACTCGGCAGCGTCGTCCCCGTCGACCACGAGGTCCACGTCCTCTTCCTCCTGATTACCGCCCCCGCCCCCGACGCCGCTGCCGGAGCGATTGCTCGAGGAGGTCGCGAGACCCGCGGCTGCGAAGCGGAAGAACGACGAGCTCTTAGCAAGATCGCGCGAGGGAGTCGAGTTGAGAAAAAACGTCATCGGCACACAGAAAAAACAGTATCCTTGAGAGAATACAAATATGCCTTGATTCAAGTATATTTTATCCTTATAATAGCGCCAAATATAAATAATTTTGGATAAAAGATAATTTATCCTTAAAACAAAGTGCAAAATATTCTTGGTTGAAGCTGAAATTTACTTATAAATATTGCAAGGACAAGTGACAAGTGTGCATCGGATATAAGCGGTACTTTCAAATAAATATAATAATTCTTAGTTCAAATGTGACAAAGTTTGTTTTTACCATATACGATTTTTAAAACAAGAATATATCTTAAGGATAAAATATACTTTACACAAACTTATTTATTATTAAGGCAAATGAAAATTTGTGATTACAAAGAGCATTCTATGCTTAAATCAATCAAATAGCGTTCGAGAATAAAAATATACTTGAATCAAGGATTTCTTTTTTTCTGTGCATACTTGACCGATATCATTTATCTTTATGATATAAATAATTAGGTATGTGTAATATACGGAATCAGTTGAAATATTCAGTTGATGTGCTTGTCAATTCTAGATTTTGATACCAGATGAAGAATGTTTTACTCCGAAAAATCAAATCTAAGATTTATTTTAATTTAATCATTTTTTTGAACAATACGTATGTCAGTGTCAAGAAAATTTTGCTAAACAAATCTGTAAATTCGCAGTAATGAGAAGCAAATTTTCGCTACAAAAATTCGAGTTTTACTAAAACACGCTTTATATTAGTCTCGAATGGTATAAAATATTTTTTTTTTCATGTCAGAATGGCCAACTAAACTCCGCTCATACAATTCATAATTATCGGACATGTTCATTTTACAGTTTCGTGCAGGCGCATTTAACGCTTCATATTGATCTTTTAAATGAATATAAAACTGTGCATTATGAGTGTTTAATAATCGCAAATTTAATGTTAATATTTGCCTCTGCACATATGATAAATTGCCATTTAACTCGTGTTAAAAGTGTGTAGATTTACCGGAAAATCCACCGACTAGCATAGAAGTGGCGCGCACTCTTCTCTGACCGGCCCATTCGTATTCCTCGAAGGTCTCGGCGTCGCCCTCGACGTCGACCTCCTCCTCGTCGAGATTCGCGTTCTGTCCGGCCGGATTCCCATTGTTCTGCTTATTCAAGCATCGATCGACGTGCTGATTCAATTCCTCTGGAGTGCCAGATAATCTCTCGCTGCAAACCGGACAGGATGCCTCGTCCGCTTTTCTCTTCCTATTCTTAACGCGTATTCTGGCCTGCACGAAAAAAAAAAAGAATAGCCACGCACATATTGAGCGATGCAACGCTAAATAGAAAGTGATCGTGCAATTTAAATTTATTCGGATATCTCTTATCTGAAATATGCTTCAATTAAAATATCTCTACAATTTGAGTCAATAAAGAAATCTAATACTTTAACTACTTATTATTAGATTGTGCGATTTGAATCGCTGGATCGATTGCTTTAGATGAAAAGAAATTATATTGATTTTTATAATGAAAAAAGTCATGTATCGATTCGCTTATTAATCAATCGAAAATGTATACTTTTTACGTATAATAACTTTTTGATGCGCTATTATAATTTCGATCTTATATTTGTGTTAGATATTTTATTTGCCCAAAGAAATAAAATATTTTATTCTAATTTTCGTGTTTCACAAAGAAAATACAATTACAATCGTGATTAAAGATTATAAAAGCGTGTTTAATAAATATCTCCATAATTTAAATGTAATTTAATAATTTTTAGATTGAGAACGCGCAGTAACAGACGAATCGCAAAATTAAAATAGAGATTAAAACACAGAAAAGCGTGATACATTAAACTAATTAATTTATAATTAAAAGAACAATATATTTTCCATTTATTTCATAGTGTATTAAACATATTTACGTATAGCGGTAATAGATATATTAACTGTGTTATTATTTGCATGCCGTGACTTTGTTGTTATTCGCACGTCGTGATTCGAACGAAAATATTATTCTTCGACACGCGAAAAATATTAAGAGAAAATGCAATCTGTAAATACAATTAACGATAGCGCGAACACAGCCCGTACAATTTAATTAACTTCACAATTAAAAATTCGTAAACTTATCTCAAAGCGACAAATGTTTGCTGAACCAAATATTTTGTGCAATTTTTTTATTCAAAGTAGAAATAGAGTATGAGAATTATAAATTATTACGTTATATTTACAAGCAATAATTATTTCTCTAACATAATTTTTATATTTCTTATATACATTTTTGCATTACAGAATATTATTTCGCACTTCGATTATATTGATCAAGTATCTAATAATTAACTTCTGATGTATAAAACATTTTAAGCATTTGGTATATACTATATAATTTTTTTGAAAAATTAATTATTTTCAGTACTGCTATAATTTAGATTTTATGTGTGTTACAGATCAACATAACTTCATCAACTCCGCTACACATCGATCGGTGAGTGACAACCTTTTATGTTACAGTAAAAAAAAAGTATATACTTTAATCTTTTTTTTCAACTTTTGTTCATTGTTCAAGTTTACATACCCCTTTTAATACTTGACGCATAATTGTTTAGCTATTTAAAAAGATTGTTCTACAATTATAATAATTAGTAAGTGCTATGCTTCACACACAAGTCGCTTTTAATTGTTAGAGAGAGATTACGAAAATATCGTTAAATACTCAGTATAACCAATGAGAGATTGAAATAGTAGAAAATCATAGAATTACCTGTCTATTCGCCTTGATCCTCTTGTACGTCTCCCATCTACCCTGAGGAGTACCGTCCGCCGCCGATGGGGCGTGCAGCATCGGGCCATGGGGATGATCTGGGTGCGTCGGAGGTAAGGTTGATCTTGAGGATCGAGGCCTTGAGGGCGTCGTGGAAACCTTATACAGTCGATCGAGTTCTTGAGCAAAATGCTGTTCTAATTCTTGAGGCCTCACTGTCACTCCGCATACCGGGCAGCAAGATGGATCTGAGGGAAATTTCTTCTTGCCTGAAACAGAACATTCGCAACATATTACAAAATTATTGATCACAGAGTGAGATAATGTCCCGTAAAATATTACGGAAAAAAATTAATATTTCTAAATTTATTTTGCCGACTGTATTCAAGATCCTATATAGTTGCTGCTTCCTATTCATTATATATAATAGCAAATAGTAGAATAATTTCAAATTGCAATCGCGAATTTATTGAATATATAAAATGCAATTTCGTAAAAAAATAGAGAAATATTTTTTTTATTTGACAATTAAATGCATTTAAAGGCCGTCTTTGATGTCCTCGAAATTAATATTTTTAAATTTATTTTGCCGACTATATCCAAGATCCTATATACATAGTTGCTGCTTCCTATTCATCATAATAGCAAATAGTAGAATAATTTCAAATTGCAATCGCGAATTTATTGAATATATAAAATGCAATTTCGTAAAAAAAAAAAAAAATAATAGAGAAATACTTTTTTATTTGACAATTAAATGCATTTAAAGGCCGTCTTTGATGTCCTCGAAAATGAGGGTTTAGCGTCTCGAGCGCGGTCAAAGAACGGAATCGCCCGAAGATGGAGGGAACGTTCCACTTCTTAGGAAGATATCGGCTAACGCGATTTAAAAAGTATTCAACTCGCCTCGTAATTACTTTCCGCAACGAATCGTCGTCGGGACGCGCGCATCGCATTAAGCCCCAGAGTCGCGAAACGAAAACCGCCGCCGTCGTAGGTCAACGCGCGGGCCCGGCTCGTTTACTCGCAATTTATCGCTCCGTAAAACGGCGGGATAAAAGAAAGGGAAGAGAAAAGAGAAAAGAGGAGAGATACCCGGCGAGAGAGAGAAAGAGATGAGAGGGAAAAAAAGATCGGCACAACAAACAGCCCGCGGTACTCCAGCAGGATACTTCTGTCGCATGTCTTGCACTCTGACGGGAATGCATAATTAATCGCGAAAACTTGTCACCGTCTGCATCCCTGCACACACCTCGTATCGCGTTGAGGTTCGACCTCGCGCCGGAGGAGCTAAACTATGCATAAATTTATAGGAAAGGTTTGCAGTACCGAGACGCGCTGGATTCCTACGGTTGATTTTAATTACGCGTTAATCGACCGTATCTCAAAGCGGCTTCGTAGCACGTCGCCGTGCTGGAAGAACGCTGAAAGCCTTTATACGGCGGTAAATATTTATTGCGAGTCGCTGTGCACACAGCCGTAGGGGAAACGAACGAAAGGGATGGCGCGATCGTCCATCCTTGGCCGGACCCAAAGATGCACCGAGTTGCATTTTATTCAGCTGCAGCTGTCACCGCGATGCTTCTCAGTGGAGCACTCTGCGATTTAATTATCCAAATCTAAACGTTCGTTCTCTCTAGAATAATATTATCGTTGCAGTTTTAATTTATGGAACTAGGGAAATGCTTGGAATTATTTAGAAGACATTTATAGATTGGAATGAACATTCGACATCTATTGGAAATTGCGCCATGAATCACAAAGAAACACGTTGCAGCAACGATAAATATGAATTGTTATATCCTTACCACTATATTTAATCTTGTATCTTATTGATAACAGTGAGCAAGATATATAGTGAAAATATATTATGTATACAAAATATGCCATATATATTTTTCACTTTTATTTCTAACGAAAGCTATTTAAAAATTATCTACTTGTAAACAGAATAGCAATAGCTTGAAAAGTGAATCGATGAATTGATTTATTTTAAAACATGTGATAATCAAGCTCGTATCAAATGAAAATTAATTCAAAAAGAACAGGTTTTTAGACGAGCAAATATGGTTGACAATGTAAAATTAGTGTATTTTAACATAAAAGTTACAAACAATTCGTGCAAGACGTTTCGTCACTTACTTGTGACTTCTCAATCGGTAAATTCAATACAATTACATATAATAATAATCAAAAATTTTCATCTTAAAGCAATAGTTGTCTTATTAACAAATGTAATATACACTAGTTTGTCCTTGTTCTTCATATTAATTTCGGTGCTCGGAAATAATTAATGTTCAATCTATGTTAACAAATAACGTACAATTAAACCTTTATACGGATTTTATTAAATATACTTAATATTTGTTAAATTGCAAAATCACTTACGATTTGTATTGTTCGCCTCGATCTCCATTATAGTGTGTATTATTCTTTATCGACTCGAAGGTTGAATATACGCAGAATCTCTCTCTTAAGCTTTATATATATTTAGAAGAAGGTGAAATTTATTTATATATTGTTTATTTTGTCTAAAATCGGAAAATATGCTTTGTCCAATAAGTCAATAATCGTCTATAAGGTTCAAGCTGTTTTTGTTGTTGTTTATGTAGTGTTTCGGATGTTAACCTTTTGTAATAATTGCTTTCACAATCTAATATTTTAACGTCATTCCATATCATGATTTATGTAAATAATATGTCTAGAAACCACGCTCAAATTCGATTGTTTTATGTTTCTTTTATGTTCATTAATCCTTGTATTAAGTTTGCGTTGATTTATTTTAATATTCGGAGAATATTTAAAATATAATTATCAAAATACATATTCCGCAAAATTAAAACACTGCAACAAGTTACAATTTTATAACTTTTTATTCTTATCATAAAATTATATATTATCCAATCAATTCTTAATAACTATTGTTATTTACCTAGCATTTTTCTTCATGTTGAATTTTCTGTATATTCTATATAATATCGTCTATAAAATATGAAATATAAAGATAGATCTTTACTAGTCGATTTTGCAATACACACACCTAGACGCACTTTGCATAATTAGGTGCCTCGAGTTTCCTTCATCGGTCTTAATCGATCGTAAGCTGCCGCGATTTCAAAATAAAATAACACAGAATCGACGACGCGTGAATGCGTACATGCGTTTTGCATGTATTTTAAAATTCCTGAATGATAATCGTAGTCTGCCTTGCGAACACGGTACCATCGCATAACGGAAGTCGGCGGAATTAACGTCGCGACGATGCAATGAAGAAAGTCGACTCGAAAAAGAAGAAGAAATGACACGGGATTTATCAGTCACATTGCATTTCCATCGCGGATAAATTCGTGAGTGGAATTATCTCTTTGCGATTGAATTTTCTTTGCTTATTTGTTAAATTATCATTAAATGTTGTGCATGAGTTCCAGTTTCAAATTGACGCTAAGAATATATTTCCTGTATTGCTAAAAATGTTTACAGCGAAGGGGATTCAACATTTTCGACGTATAAAAATATACGTCTTCTAAACACGTCTCTTTTAACTTTCCAAAAATAAACAAAAAATTGATAAAATTATTGATATAAATTGCAATAATTTTTTCCAATTAATTTTTAAAAATATTTACTATAATAATAATATATAAAATAATATACATAATAAATTATTGGAAAATGATTATTGAAACTCAAATATACATAATCTTCAAACATAGATAACTAAACTTTATTTCCCAATCTAATGAAAAATTAACTAGAATTAGAATTTATATGTCGCGATAACGTTTTCCAAGTTAAAATACAATATTTTTAGGAAAAAATTTTTAAGAAACTGCAACACATTAAAATTCATATCAGCTCAAAGTGCATCGCGTTCATCCTAGTTTAAATAGCTTTCAAATTATCGCCATTTCAGAATTAGCCTCATTACACAACGAAATCTTTCAATCTCACTATTCTGTAATAATAAATCGTTCTTCGTCTGCCGACAGCGATCATAAATAGATTCGATGGATCGACGAATGATATCATGGAAATCTAATTAGGCCAGGCATGTCTACTTACAATTAAACGACGAGATCAGTGTCAGGACGAACGACAAATTGAATTATCACGTTAAAATGCGTCTTCTTTCCGTTGATAAATCGCAAATTTTTGAATGCTTTTCACTGTAATTTTCACAATATACTTTTGTATTTTAATCAGATTTTCCAATCGCTATCTATCAATAGTGCGCTTGATTAGACGCTGCTTTAAAAAAATAATTTGTTGATTGAACTGTGTCATCTATATTTGTTGCTAATCAATAAATTATTTGAAAAGGTAAATAGAATCTTTATGCATTTTTTAATCACACAATTCCGTTTTGTATAATAATAAAAATTCTTTTACTTTAAAACATGAAAAATATAATAATCGTTATTCCGCAAAATTATGGTCCCAAATATTATTTGTTAGCACTTTACAAATTTACAGATCTATATATCAAAATCGTATAAAATAATAGTGTAATTTTAATTTTTCATGATTACATCTCTTGTTTAATCGATAGCCAATTCTATTGTAGTATCGTATAAATGTAGCATAACAGAAATTTATGAATCAGAAAAAAAAATATTATTTCTCGACGCAAATTCTATACAGCGTACGAAAATAAACGTTCTTTGCTGAACGTTTGCACCTGCTTGCTATTTGCCGACAATAACGTCTAGTGACGTATTCTCAAAAAATAGAATGGAACAATTTCCATGTAAACAACTCAAAACTTCGAATTCCCAAGGATCCGTTTGAATTTTGCGATATTAATATTTTTTTACATAATTTTAAACTCGATAAATTGACAATTTAAAAAAATAGTGTTTAAAACGTTCTTAAAGAAAAAGAAACAAAAATTATATTGAACAAGAGAAGACGTACATATGTATATGTAGAATGGAATAGAATAGATAACATACTTTCGTAATAAAACAAATAAATTTCTGATTTTTCACTTTTTCTCTTAAACACACAACTTGATGAACGATTGGCTCGTTTATTTTGACAAAAGACGACGATCCGGTGCTCGAAGCCACGAGGATTTGATCGCGACAAATGTTTCACGTCTACAGCGCAAAGAAGGGGCCTCCCTTGTCCTCACAAATCTTGACCCCTAAGGGTCGACTTGTAAAAATAGACGAGGGAACTCGCGATATTCTCGCGGTTTCCGGAAGAGATAGCTTGTTTGCGTATATCTCGTGAATCATTTGTATTCAAAGCTCCATGTCTTTGTACA